AGCAGGACTTGTGATTGGCTGAGGTGGTGATTGTGATTTTAGCCAATGAGAAGGCCGATGCTATAACGACCAATTGACGTCTGCCTGTGTGTGACATCACGAATCGAATCTGCCCAATAGACGAGTACAGTTTCGAGTCATCTCATTTGCATACCGTCCCTATAAATACGGGGGACGCCGCTATTGTATCTACGTTGTTCCTGCGGTAGTGGAGGAGCGACAGGCTTGTAAAATGCCGGAACCCGCCAAATCAGCTCCTGCTCCCAAGAAGGGCTCCAAGAAGGCGGTCACCAAGACGCAGAAGAAAGGTGACAAGAAACGTAGAAAGACAAGGAAAGAGAGCTACTCGATCTACGTGTACAAGGTGCTGAAGCAGGTGCACCCCGACACGGGCATCTCGTCCAAGGCCATGGGCATCATGAACTCCTTCGTCAACGACATCTTCGAGCGCATCGCCGGCGAGGCGTCGCGCCTGGCGCACTACAACAAGCGCTCCACCATCACCTCGCGGGAGATCCAGACCGCCGTGCGGCTCCTGCTGCCCGGCGAGCTGGCCAAGCACGCCGTCTCCGAGGGCACCAAGGCCGTCACCAAGTACACCAGCTCCAAGTAGATTTTATTTGGAAGATCGTCTAACCCAAACGGCTCTTTTAAGAGCCACCCACACTTTCAGTAAAAGAGTCGTTCACACGTTTTCTGTTCGGTGAGTGGTGCTGGTATCTAATACTACTTCAAAGGGTTGTCTTCAGCATTTCTCGAGTTTAGCTCCGATTGCGTTTGTTATCCTTGCACTCCTTTTTCTTAAGTTTCAAAAATAGCTCAGGATGAGTGGAAAAAATATTTGTGTGTTTGGAAGCTTTAGAAACACCAGTCGTGATTTTGGTTGTCATCTGTAAACCTTTAGCAAATCAAGCTGTAAAGCTTAAAGGCGCTCCTTCCTCTGCCTTTTGCGTTAAGGTAATTAACGTCAGCACAAGCTGTCGAGTACACACGTCGGGAAATACGCAGAGCCGTGCTGGAATGAAATAAATCATTTTTCGTAGAATTAGGATGACCTTTCAGTTTGGCTTACACTTTTGCCAATACGATGGCCTCGTCTCCTTTCAATATTAACTGTCATTTTTGAACGCCCTGGCCGAAAGCCACAGTGCTGCCTGTTGGCTCAGAGAGCTGCATCAGGATTAGGCTGTGTGTGGCCTTTAAGAGATAATGTTTCATGATATATATCATACCATACACAGTTAAAAAGAAAGAATGCGAAATCATCTCTTTTTATCACTCGCTTGCCTCACGAGTTTGATATGAGTGTGGTGCACATATCGCTGTCGTCCCTTTTTTAATGGAGAATAAGCGCGAGAGAATAAGGTTAGTCATATCTGTGAAGTGACAGATGACAAATGAGAGAACGCAAGGAAGAAAAAAAGGTTGAGGGAAGAAAAAGGTCGAATGAGAGGCAGAGCTTTTTTGAACATTAAGCAGAGGAAGATGCGAAGTGAAGTCTGATTTTTATTTTACTTATTTTTTTTCTCTCCCCGAAAAAGCGTATTGACAAAGGCCTCATAACCTGCCTGCTACGGATAGAGGCAGCGGTAGAAACGTCTGTTCCGAGAACGGAGAAGAGCTCCGCGCTCGGGGGGCGGTGACGGCTGTGGCAGAGATTGTTGCTGCCGGCGGCCTGGTTGCTTGGGGCAGATCCACGGGTAACCCGGAGCGGACGGGGGGAGGGGGGCAGCGGGAGGAGACCGTTGCCGCCCTCCCCCCCCCCCACCCCCAGGAGCGG